TATTGAACTAACTGTAGTCTTCATGAAGCAGTGCAGCTTTTTTTGGATGTTTAGTCGCCTCTTTTTACACTTTGAGGCTCGAGAGAATAAAACCTTCCGTCTCCAAACAGATGCTGTTCGCTCGTATTCCTAAATCCTGGCAAATCAATTCTTATGTTTACTCTCTAAAACCAAGTCTTGCATGTGTTTAGTGAGGCCAGGCACTGCATTGAACACTTGATTCAGAGCCATAGCAGGCCAGCAGCACCTCGGGGTGGGTTTCATTATTCCTATCTACACTGAATGGAACAGTGGCCAAGATGGCTATCTTAATCTTATTTGGCTATTGAGGCTCACTCTGTCTTTTTTCACCCTTTCTCTTTTTTCCCCCCATTTCTTTATTTCTCTCTCGTACGGATGCACACAAGCACCCGGTGACCTATGCTAACCAGCTTCCTCTTCATGCCTGAAGGACAGCGCTTGTGTCATCGTGTCCCGGTTGCGTTTCCGAGACGGAAACAAGAGAAGAAGCGAGCAGGCGATCAGATAGAGGCTGGTTGGATATGTCTATCGCTTGTATCTCAGCTCTGTGTGTGTGTCTTGACTTGATTGTATCTTCGGTTTCTCATCAGCGCGTCCACATTGATAGCTGAGCTAGCACTAAGCATGATATTAATGTCGATAAAGTTTCCTGTAGGAAGGGAACCCCGGTGTATCTGCATCCGACATGTTCCACTAACCCTTTGATGTCCTGATCAAACATTGTCCCGGTGCCAAATTCATCGCTTCGGTCTCAGCAGAGTTTGGCCTGTTCCCGCTCTGTGTTGAGCACCGAGAAGTGGCGTGTAAGGCGAGCAAGCAAGACCCAGAATGCAACCTGCCAAACCGCCAGATGCTTTGATCCAAGATGGCCCCCTGAGAGCCAGCATGGATCCGCGGCGTCTCCGAGCCAAGGCTGGATTCACAGACACAGTGTCAGCGGGGCTTGCCAGGGATATTTACACCATTTGTCTTCATACAACACAACGTTGAGCTGATTTTTTTTTTTCCTTTTCGTTTCTCTGCTGTTTTCACTCTTAACATATGTTGTTTTATGGATGCGCTCATTACGCCACAGCGAGTGGATGGATTTCTACAAGAAGTGTCGTCCCAGTGGGATTCACACCCGACATTAGAGCTTTGATTTATGCTTTGAGCAGCAGAGCAGATCTACGACTACACACAAACGGCCATTGTTGTTTTTTATGGGCTGATTATTAACCGTTTTTCTCATTTATTGGTAGAATTATTACTATTTTTAACATATTCCTGATAAAGTAAATAAATGTAAAATCTGGTCCTGAGCAACGTCCCGCCCACAGCGCGATCTGATTGGTTACAACTCACAAGAGACAGCCAATCAGCACTGATAAAGTTCTCTTTTAATTAAACATATACATAAACTAAGCTGTGTTAACAAAGTTTTCTCTTGGGATTCGTGTCATTTTTACTGCAAATGTATATCGCTTTCTCAGTAACAGTGACGTGTTCCCAAAAAACCCGGTCGACAACTATTTTTAGCAAACTTTACTGTTTTTTACCTAAAGTTATTATTTTTTCTGGGCAAGACTGCAGGTGTTCTCATTTTCCAGCTTCTTGAATGTAACTATCCTCCTTATAATCTGAATATTTTGGGGTTTTGGGCAAAAAAAACTACTTTTGACCCCTGAGAAATTAAGATGACCATTTTTTGCTATGCTTTGACATTTTACTGGCTAAACAAAAGGCAAATAATCCAATTAATCAACCAATTAATGACAGGATAATCAATAATAAAAATTGCATAGTGGTTGCATTTCTGTATTAAATACATCAGGGGACTATGGGAAATCATTTTTTATTGCATTAGAGTGTATTTTCTGAATGCCACCTTCCCAATAATAATAATAATAATAATAATAGTGTTATTTGTGTAGCACCTCATGAAAACAACATTATAAAGTGCTTTGCAAAAAAATCAAACATCAAAGAAAAAAATAATGCAATAAACAAACTAACATGCAATATATATGTAAGATAAGATCATTACACGTGCAGTAATATTGTTTATCTAAGACAACAAGGTGCTTTGCAAAAGTACCTTCCAGTAAATAGAATTATGATTGGTGTTAAAAAAGAGCAAACACTGCAGTAAAGGTTTAATTTTTACAAATAAGAATCACTAAAAGTCCAGTATAGCAGCTGGCAGTGGTTTTCTTATCTGTCCTGTTCATATTTTTTATCAATAGGAGATTTTCTAGCAGCCACATCTACCCGGTGAAGCAGCTCCTTCTGTCTCTTTAAGAGTCAGGTGCCATGTGCAGGTCAGAGTTCAGCCCTGGAGAGTCGGGCTGAAGGGAGGCGGATGCTGAGCAGCTGTCAAGTGTCCTGCACCGCTCGTCCTGCCTCCCTCCATCCATCCGTCCCCTCACTCACCTGCTCGCCCTCCCTCCTACCTCCTACCTCCTCACCACTTCCCCTCCCTTCCTTCCTTCCTTCCTTCCTTTTTTTCTCTTCTTCTCTTCTCCTACCTTTTCCTCTGACCTCGCTGCCTCCCTCTCTCCTCCCTCTCCCTCCCTTCGCCTCCTTTCATAAAGCGTGGTTGGCTGGTAGCTGCTGGCTGGCTAGCGGTGGGGGATATAGCTTTATAATCCCCCCTCGTCTTCCAACCCGCCTCGCCACAATGTCACAGGAGCTTAATATTTGCCATTATTATTTGCTTGTTTTATTTGACTTCGAGGCAGCACAATGACCTGTCAGCGCCGGCTTTATCCCCCCTCCGAGTGTCGTCCATTTCAAAGTTGACTACAGTAATCCACGAGCCCCCGATTCCGCTAAATCCTGAAGCTTTCTTTCATTCGTTTTTTTTTTTTTTCTCCCTCCTCCTCCTCCTCCTCCTCCCTGCTCCCTCCTCCTAAATGAAATTACATACATCTGCTGGCTCAGAGTATCTCAAATGTCCACACGCTCACCGGTGTCCGTGCACACATCCGTCCACGCGTCTGCCTTTTGTCATCGGTGACGCAGTGGCCCGCTGCTCCCTCGCTCTGCGCTGGAGAAATGCCTTTTTATTTGGTTTCCTCCTGTCCTGAGCTGCTAAATCATTCATTTACAGGTTGCTTTCCTGCGCAGGTGTTTGCTCTAAATCAGCTATTGGCTGAATCCATCACAAACAAACAGCAGACGGTTAAAGAAACGTTTGCATCTCTTTAAACCGGAGCTTAATTAGTGAATAAGTGTCACAGAAGTCCTCTCGGTGTTAATTCTGTTGTGATGTCTGTCGTGGCGGCTCAAACCTTCCTCTCAGCAGCCAGCGATAATAACATAAGCCCTGAGACGATCTTTCATCTCGCGCGTTTTCATCCGTTTTTCTCCTCGCAGACGAACCGAGTGTCGGATTAATGCCGCCGTCGCCGTTTAACTGACCTCAAGTGCCACGACGCTCACGTGCCGGCTCTAGACGTGAACGGATCCAAGTGGAGTGACCACAGCGGTTCGTTTATGCACAAAGTGATGCTTTGACCAGAGAATAAACAGCCTGCAGATTTCTAATCTGAATGCTTTAACTAAACAAATAAATAGCTAAATACACACAGAAAGATTCTGATGGTGTTTTATGACAATATGTCTAACTGGAGCTGCAGCCAATCATGAATTAACCCGTTAAGTGTCCGCTAGTTTGATGATGGATTTATCAGGTTGAGTCATATTTCAAGAGATAAAAGGCCAAATTTACTTCTTAAATTTTAATATTTCAGTTTTTTTTGTGGCTCTGTGACAGTAAACTGAAAATCATTTGTTTGTGGACATTTAAAAACATCATCTTGGGCTTTAGGAAGCATGAATTCACTTTAATAGATAAAACAGCCAATCAGTTATTTACCCCTCCTGTTATCTTTGAGCCCATTAAGGTGTCTAAATAAGAGATCATCATCATTTTTTCAGTTTTATTTAAAGGGCTATTCACACAGAAACATGGGTAACAATTTTCATTGTGATCATTTTGTGGAGGTTTAAATTTCTGGGCTCAAATTGACTGAAAGAGAAAAGAAATTTGAAGCAGGGTTAAGAGACTAATCCTCGAATGAACCAGTGATGAAAACGAAGCACCTTCACCTTTAAATGTACATTTAACCGGTGCTTTGGTGCAGAATCTTGGTGTTTGTGCAATAATACGTTTAAAGGACTAATCCTGATAATTTAAGTGCAGAAATTTGATGTAATTTATGTTATTAAATATTTTGCTCCCAAACCAGCATCCTTAGTGCCATTAACCACCAGTCAGCTTCTCTCTGTCATTGTTGAGCGATCACAGGTTACCAAACCTTAAGATCATCTGATTTTAGTCCAAAACACGCCCAGCGGGAGTCCGACTGGACACCACAGCTCGTCTTTATTCCAGGTCCAACCCAACGGAGGCCGTTTCTGCTACCTGGCTAATGTCTGACTGTTCGACGCCCTTCGTCCGTATCAGTTGTTCGCATCCCCTCCATCATTGTAGCTTGTAAGTAAGTTACAGCGCAGAGCTTTAGCCCCAGGCGCGGGCCAAGCTTACATTAGCCATGCATCTGAGCCCGGCTAGATCTCTGTGTGCTGATCAGGTATTACGCTGAGCGGCAGCCAGTCCCGGAGACGTGTCCTCTCGAAGGCCCGCTGAGTGATTGGTGGGATATGTATTGGCCTACAGTGAGAGGCTCCACTCTGTAAAGGGGCTCGACGGTAATCGCCGAGTTAATCCCGCCCCGGTTGAAGCCGTATTGACGTTGTGAGGACCTGGTGTGAAGCGTGTGAATGTTTACAGAAGGAATATAGGCGAGGAGTGTATTTACACGCTCAGAAATATGCCGACTAAGAGACTCCACGCCGGCGTTTATCCGCCTCATCTCCTCTGATGGGTTTCTATCAGACTCACCAGTAAACCTGTGTGATTTCTAAAAGGGAGCAGCTTGAGATTTTTATAAAAGTTTAACTGCTTGTTTTTTGTGTGTGTGTTCTCTCCCCAGGCAACAACAAGGAGGAGGAGGAGGCCATGATGCAGGAGTGGTTCATGCTGGTCAACAAGAAGAACGCCCTGATCAGACGACAGAACCAGCTCTCTCTGCTGTACGTCGCTTCCTTCACTCCACAGTCAAATGAAGGCACTTTATTTTATGTGAAACCTCTCGCTAGCTAGTTTTTTTTTTATAATCTGTCCCCGTGCTGAGAAACCTGGAAGCCTCCACTCAGGCGTTAGATGAAACCCGTTGGAGCTGCGCGAGCGTTCCCGCCACTCCATTCAGCCCTCTGTCTATCCGCGCATTGATTTACATGCGGTCGGGATATGAAATCAATAGAAACGTGGCGATCGCTACTCTATCTCTAGTCTCTTTGTATGTGGTCAGCTGCGACAGGTGGAGGCTAGCTAGCGCGCGCCGCCCTTCTCTCCCCGTTTGCGGGTTTCAAAGTGTGCGAGTGGAGGAGAGATTGAAGTATTCATAATCACATTACATCGTGGGAAAGGCGAGGCTTTTAAAGTGGCCAATTGACAGAAGGGGCTGATTATTAGCCCTTTCTGTTCCCTCTTTGTGCAGGCGAAGAGAAAAGACGCCTGTGAAGGACAAATTCTATTAGGGGCCGAATTAGCTCATTTTTTAATACGGCTGAAAGAGGGAAGAATTCAATTTGTGCTGCGCAGACGCACACAAACACACATGAGCAGCGCCGCACAGGCATGAAATATCCATAGATGCACATTCAGTCCTTTATCTTCTTCCCTTTTTCCTGCTCCTTCGTTTAGCTTTAATGCGTTTTCGCCTCCGTTTAGATCCACCCAGGGCTGTGTGAGCGCACTATGAGTATCAGTTATGTGCAGTAGATTAATGCGAAGCCGGAGAAGGTCCAGGCGAGTAGCAGAATCGATGTTTATTGCAGGTTTCTTTAAGTACTTAATGATTTAGTCATTAACATATTGATGAACTTTGTTGTGTGTGTGTGTCTGTGTGTGTGTGTGTGTGTGTGTTTTCCTCTCTCTAACTTGCCACAGGGAGAAAGAACACGATCTGGAGAGACGCTTCGAACTGCTGAACAGGGAGCTGAGAGCCATGCTGGCCATCGAGGGTAAGGCGGCGCAGTGGGGCTCAGGGAGGCTGCACAGGGTTCATATTTAGAAAAGTCGCAGCATAAATTGCATGAAACTCTACATTTTGTGCGTTTTGATGCACTTTGACAACCTGACATCTCCACCAGCTTCCACCACAGAGTCCATTATGTTCCTGGTGATGTAGAAAAACCACTAATGTGCACAGAAATCCCTTTTTAAAGCACAGCTGGACTTAATTTGACTGATTCCTGAATGCTGTGACTAATTTAGCAAAACACAACATCTGGATGATGTTTACTGAGTCGCCAGAATCCAACAGCTGTGGTTTGTTTTGCGTCTCTGGGCGATGAAGCTGCTGTCAGGACAGTCTGAGCGCGTCGTCTCTCTCCGCCCGTGTGGTTTTTTGTGAGTCCTTGGTGCATGTTGTCCACTTGTTGGCTGTTGACCAGCCTTCATCAGGAGCCCGAAGCACCGCAATTTGAATTCTGCTCCTTGATGAGGATTAAGATGCGAGCTTGCGAGGGGATTTCACTCCCTGATACTTGATCAATGCTATCTGTTTCTCAGCCAGGCCAGACTAGCCGATGCCTGATTTGAAATCTAGCCACAGCTGCATTGAGAGCCGGGTTTGTGAGGTACAAAAAAAAAAACGATGCAGTTATACTATTGAAAGCTTGTTAACTACACCGCAGCCAGAAAAGCAGCCATTGTGTCGTATCAAAGTTGTCAGAGGGCCAAGGAAGTTTAATCCCCTTCGACTGCGTCCTCTTTGGCAAAATGAACCTTTTGCCAATCAATGCTAATTGATTTTGCTATTCGACATTGACCACCGCCCCCCCCTCCCCCCACTCCTTCTCCACACAGCCTTCGGACACCCATTGTAATTTCACCGGGCACCTGATAAGATACCTGGTCCATAATAAATCAATTGTAATTAGCAAGAGAGGAGGCGGGGAGGCAGCGGAGGGACAGACACCCAGCCGGAGCTGCAGCCGACCGAACGCTGCTGCGTCCGGCCTGATTGTCTCCAGCGGACACTTTTATTTATTTCTATTTATCGAGCCGCGGCGCGTCTGCAGCTCCAGTCAAATGGGAGGCTTCCACCCGTTCTGCTTCACGTGTCGGAGCGTGTGTTTGGTTCAGTGTGCGACTGTTTGTGTGTCTGAACCTACTGGTGTTGAAAGGTGGTGAAACATTTGCTGGTTTGTCTCCAGCTGCAGCAGATGTGCAGCAATCAGTGGCCGCTTTATTATCAGTGTTTATTGTATTATATCGTATTATTGTGTTTCTGTGTTTTGTTGTGAGCTCTGGGTTTGTGTGTCTTTGTGTTTCCTTCATGTGTGTTACTGTCAGCAGCTGTATGCTTCTCTGAGTGCACATTTCTTTATGCAGCGCCTTTGTGTGAAGCGTCTGCCTGCTCACGTGTGTGTGTGTGTGTGTGTGTGTGTGTGTGTGTGTGTGTGTGTGTGTGTTGTGTCACTTCAGTCTGCCTTACTTTATTCCACCTTACAGGTCAGTTAGCATCACAGGCTAACACTTCCTGTCTGCACCTTTACGTATACAAAGGTGTTGAAGTCTTTGCTAATTCGTCTCCAGCTGCAGCAGATGTGCAGCAATCAGCAGCCACCTTATTTATTTATTTATTATTTCTATTTATTGAGCTTCAGTCAAATGAGAGGATTTCACTTCTTCTGCTTCACGTGCCAGAGTGTGTGTTTTGTGTGTTTTGTGTTGAGCTCTGTGTTTGTGTGTCTGTGTGTTTCCTTCATGTGTGTTACTGTCAGCAGCTGTGTGTCGTCCTGCTGCTTCTCTGAGTGCACATTTCTTTACATATCGGATTTGTATGAAGTGTCTGCCTGCTCACCTGTGTGTGTGTGTGTGTGTGTGTGTGTGTGTGTGGAGGTGAGAGAGCAGAGATAGTGTGTGTGTGTCGTGTCACCGCCGTCCTCTCTGCCTTCATGTGGACTTGTTGGATTTGCAGCTGACTAACTTATCAGCCGGCCTTATTTTCCTCCCTAAGGGAGGCACTTAACATTCACAGGCTTTACCTTTCTGTAGCAGCCACAGATAGTTCTGAGCTGCTGGGAGGAGGAGAGCTGCATGTGTGTGTGTGTGTGTGTGCGTTACAGTCAGTGTGTGTGAGGATCTGTTGGTCTCTGTTTGTCTGTTTACATCTCACAGGTGTGTTTGTGTGTCCACCTGTGTGTGTGTGTGTGTG